TGCGATACTCCAAGATACTGCAAAACTTCAAAAGGGGTCAAGCAGCCAATTGCACAAGTTCAAGTTCTCCCAGTCATGGATACCATTAGGGCATTATATGCAAATGCAGAAACATCATCTGAGATGCGCAATCGAGATTCTTGTCTCCAACAAGTACTGCATCTTATTGCAACAGCAGCAAATAATCCACATCTTGTGGATGGAATGACTACAGATCCTAATGCACCTGTGCGCCAATATTCTGACTATGGAAATGGTCAAATTCATCAAATGCTATATGAGAAACTTGGTCTGTTTAAGGATCCTCGAGATGTTGCATTTGCACTCTCCACTGATGGTGCCCAACTGACAATGAAAAAACAATCCAACACTTGGCTATTGATTATTATCATTCTTAACTTACCTGCAACAATCCGCTATGGGGAGCAGGTTGCAGTTACTTGTGCAACTCCTGGTCCCTACTCTCCAGGGGATATTGAATCATTTCTATGGATCACATTTACAGAAATGGCAAAAGCATCTGAAGGAATTTGGATGTATGATGCAGTTGATTCATCCTATTTTCTAAATCATGCTGCTATTACAATGGCTTTAGGAGATATGCTAGGATCAGCAAAAATAAATGGAATGGCAGGGCATATGGCAATTTTTGGAGACAGATTTAGCATGGTCCAAGGTGCTCGTTCAAGTCGTGTAAAGGGCTCAAAGGCACTTTATTATCCAAGCGCCCCCCCTGAAAATTCTACCTACAACCCAGATCGCCCTAGTAGATATGATCTATACAATTTGCCACTAAGAACTCAAAGCCAGTATTGGAAGATTATCAAAGAACTGGAGGATGCACAGACCAAAAAAGACAAGGCCAACATTGTTAAAGCCACAGGCATTTCACGGATTCCATTGTGTGCAGCTAGCAAAGCCTTTATTCATCCAACATTCTTCCCCATTGACCCCTTTCATCTATTCTATGAAAATGAAGTCTTATTTATCTGGGATCTATGGACAACTATTAGTGACAAGAATGATCCAATCCATTTCCATCGTGTTTCAGAATTTGGAGCACTCATTCCAGAAGCAATAAAAACCCTTCCACCAGTATTTTGTGGCCCTGTACGGGATCCTTATCTTAAGCGACAAAGCCAATACAAGATTTATGAGTGGATGGCATTACTTCATTGGTATATCATTCCAATTGGAATAGAAACAGGAATGCACCCATCAGTCTTGCAGAACTTTTCACAGTTTGTTGAGATAATTGAATTTGCTATGACAAACACCAAAAGAACAGATGCAGATCTATCCTATCTGCAGGAATTAATTATTAAATTCCTGCTAGGCTTTGAGAAATTGTATGTTGGAAATGATCCTGAAAAAATAAATCGTATGAGATTATGTATTTTTCAGCTGATCCATGTCCCCAACCATATTAGATGGAATGGATCTATTCGTCTAGGCTCTCAGGCCACAGTTGAACGCAGTATAGGAGAAATAGGAAGAATGATCCGATCCAAGAAAGCCCCATTTGCAAATTTGACAAATCTAATCTATGAAAAGGAGCTGATCAAGATTTTATGCCTTTATTATCCAACATTGGACATTAATCGCAAACAAAAATCAGACTTGGAGACAGTCCTTCAGCCAATTCAACAACACAAGATCTACAAAAAATACAATTCTATGACACCCGTTATTGAGAAAGAGCTGGCTTCCATCTCAGTCTTGTTGAAACAAACTATAGCAAGTAGAGGGGATATTCCATATTCACGATGGGGGAAATTAAAGCTTCTGAATGGACATGTACTTTCAAGTCGTTCTACTGAAGCAAAGAATCGAGTACAGCGGCAATCTTTTTGGTTTGAGGTACATTTAATCTGCACTATTTTATTAAAAATGCTCATTTTTAACTAAACATCTTAGGCACAAAATCCCCAAACATCTACTTCAATATTTGGTGAAGCCTTGTCCTTTTATCAAATTGACCTTGGTCACCCTTGCATATTTGTTATCTACAAACCCCTTGTCAACGTCAAGCGCATTTTGAATTGTCTAGAAGGGCAGTGGCAGGAAGGAACCATGCTTGCACTAAATGCCAATGACATTATTAGTCTTGTGGGAATATGGGCTGGAAAGAATTCAGTCTGGATTCTCAGAAAACATCCTGGCTTGGCAATGTTAACTCCTGAGGAATGTGGAATTGAAGACAGTGATGGTGGGGAAGGTGAAATAAATGAAGGTATAGGGGGTGCTATATAACAATGATCCAAGGTCTAGGCTCAAGTTATAGCTGCTATGGAAGTGAAGAATATTCCAGCCCGGTATAATGTAAATACTTGATTGACTGACTGATGTATTATCAGTCCAATTGAAATAAAATTTTCTCATATGCTCCTGACCCAGCCAAAATGTTCATGTCAAGAGAGTTTCAATTAGACCTTGGATCAATCATCGCGAAATATTGTGCAAAGCCTGTGGCAGTTTTGCATATACAAAACAAGATGGGATATACAGTATGATATAGATATGTTGACAATTACTATTTGGTCTGAGACTGCTGACGTAGATAAGCTAATAATGCATTGCCCAACTTCTTTTCCTCCTTTGTTTCAGATGCAACACAAAGAAATTCAGGGCAAAGCTCAAGATGTTCACCTGAAAGCACATCTGTAACACCACCTCCCCTCTGGATAACAGCCAGAATCATGATGACTTGTTTGTTCTCATTTCGATGCTGAATTCGTCGAACATATTTACCACAATGTTCACCTTTGATAACAACAAGAAGCCCCTTGTCACGTTGCGGACATGGATGCT